CGTGTTTATCAACACATTTCGTCAATCAAAACATATTCATAAACTTGAAGAGAGAATGGCATTTACAATTAAAACTGCTGGAATGGCTACTTTGTTTACTTCGTTCACAACAGCAGCAGCATTTGCAGCGAACACAGCGTCACAGGTATGTTAATTCAGTTAATAAAGTACTGAAAATAACATTGAACAACTTTGAAATAATCTACTGTAAAACTTCAATAATTCATGGTCATGTAACCAATTTTGTTTTAAAAAATTAAATGTTTACTAATAATTCACGGTGTTGCAAACAAATATTTGAATTTGTATCCTACTAATTGACACTCTCACTTTTAATGCAAATTAGAGCATAACAATTATTATTATATTGCCAATTTTTAAAATAAAAAACGTGTTGCAAAACTTGACATCCAATGTATTACAGTCGATCATGTTATGTTACATCACTGGTGATTGAAACCAAAGATTTCAACAGTCATACCAGAAACGATTTTACAAAATGTGATCTTTTTTTAAATCTTGGTTTAAAACGATGCATAAGGATTGTAACATTTCTTTGGTCAAAATAACTTCAATGCCATGTTGTCATAAAGATTGAAAGTTCATCTTTAGTTACCATATATGGATGCGACCACATTTGTGGAATCGCATCTCTGCTTGACCATGTGTCAGTACAAACTCGTCAGTTCGATAAAGCTCTCAGTTGCTATGTGGTTGTAGCTTTCTCATGGGTGTTCACTTTATGTTCTTTTCAGATTCCTGCAATTCATGACTTTGGTTTGTTTATGGCATTAGTGGTATCTTTTTGCTGGTTCTATGTTGTCTTGTTAATGCCACCAGTACTGACAATATGGCATTTTGCCTTTGAAAAATGTGAAACTTTTTGGTAAGTATTTTATTTAGTTTCACTGATAATTTCCACACACAGAATTTCATAATTTGAATGTACGATATATGTGAGTACTCTGTGTTTTATGTACCCAAGCAAAATATTCACTGTCCCTGCTTACCGGTAATATAACCTAGTAAAGTATTCACTGCTATTAAAATTTTAATGAAAGAATATGTTTTTCTTTTAGTTACCTTCCGTGCACCAATGATGTGGTCTCAGGACCAAATGGCAATCCATACCGTATATTTTCCACTGGTCAGCAACAACCACATTCTATCAATCATGGCACTACATTAGATGATGTTCAAATGCTGGACATGGAAGACATCGACACAAATGGTACATATACATATTCTGTTAAAATTATGTGTTTTTTTAACACATTGTATGCAAATATACACATATACATATAAAATGTGATGACATGGTACACATATTAACATGTGATGACATGGTACACATATTAACATGTGATGACATGGTACACATATTGAAAATGTGATGACATGGTACACATATTGAACATGTGATGACATGGTACACATATTGAACATGTGATGACATGGTACACACATTGAACATGTGATGACATGGTACACATATTGAACATGTGATGACATGGTACACATATTGAAAATGTGATGACATGGTACACATATTGAACA